AATTGTACACACACACACACACACACACGCGCGCGCGCGCGCGCGCGAGCGCAAAATATAATTAAAAATTATTCTCTCATTTGTCGACGTAATTATACGGCATTCTAGAAATTCTGTATAATGTCGTCACGGTGTTTGAGCAGAATGTTTTCTTTTACAACATATAAAGATAATGTAGTGTACTATACTATTTAATAGGTATAATAATGTACTACAAATCAATCTCGCATGTATAAATAGTGAGTAAACGATGTTCACGTAAAGGCAAAAAAAGCTATTCATATTTTATCTTTAACACTTTATCTTGAACTTTTATCTTTAATATGATATAAGATATATGTGATTTTCAATTTATTTATACATCATTTCAATTTATTTATACATCATTTCAATTTATTTATACATCAGATTCTTATTAAAATGTCATTCTTAAAGTACGTGTGTTGATTCTTTTATACAAAATGTGTTTGCAAATGTTTGTAAACATATTCTTTTTTTATTTTAAATTTATAATAAATTATAAATTTATAATATAATAAATTTATTCCGCTACCTTCTCGAATTCACACGATCAACACGTAAGCCCGATATAACAATGGCACCTAACAACTGGTGTGATGATCTTCTTTTTGAATCGCACAGATCTACGATCTAGAAAGAAGTAGAGAATCGCTAATTACAGTCAATTAACAACATCAGCCTGACCTAAAAAATTACGTCACGTGATGAGACATGTGAAAGAAATGTCGCTCAATTATCAACAGTTTAATTACGGCGGGAACTCGTGACATAAATTCGTTTGTCTAATTGCTGCGAGATCTATCGATGTAGCTCGTGATAAATGGGCGCATTTAAACCTCCAAGTTTTGAATCTCTCGGTGAGATCGATTCCTCGGGTGGGAATTACGTCGTCTTAGCGCGTAGCGGACTGATGAGACTGTCCTGGGATATTTGTCATCATCTCGAGCGACGGACTTTAATTGCCTACGCGAACGTGACGGGTCTTCACTTTGACCCGACAGTTACGTACTATGGCGGATTGCATGATTTCATATGCGCCGTGTATTGTAATCCATGTCTGAAAAACTTCCTCGCTCGCATTAACGAAGCATGACTAATGACGCAACATCTGTTGCATAGATAATTCGACTTAATACATTGAACTCGACGCTTTCTATATATTTCTCTCGTTGAGTTACAGAGCCACAATGTTGCAATAAATATTATCGTATTATTTATCTCATATCCATTATACATGCAGCATACGTGCGCTGTTGATTGAAATCTCGTCGTTATTTTCATAGTTGATAATTTTTTATTTATATTTATGTTCTGCTTACATTTTTAAAATATCTTATTAATATTTTTTCTCATTGCATTAGAATGCATTCTTTGTTAATAAATTTTTCAATTTTTTAAATAGACTTCAAAATGCATTTTATAACATTTTTCATACATATAAATGCATAAATGCATTTATACATAGTTCATACATG